GCAACAAAAAGCAGCGCCCCTCGCGGCCGCTGGCCGCCCCGCACCCGCTGCAGCGCGGCTCCGGCATCCGCCACCCCCGCGCGCCCTGGTGGACATGCCACGGGCAAACCCAATCCGCCTTTCGCCACTGCTCGGCGATGGCTGGCGCCCCCGTCAGGTTTCGGCGGGGTTTAGTTAGGTGTTAAAGCCACATTCTCATGTACTGGCCCAAGGGACGCCCCTCACAAAGGACAGAACAGGGAGAGGTTTGTGATGGCTCTGGTAGGGTTGCCAGATGGTTTCAACAAAAATACTGGACACACTTGACATTACATCACAATCTGCATTACATCTTATTTAGAAAATACCGGACATTTCTATTTTCTCAATTTGTTTCCCAAACAGAAAGCTCAAATACTGGACTGTCCAGTTCAAAACTGCACACCTGGCAACCCTAGCTCTGGATGAGTTTACTCCCTTGTCTTGGGACTGCTAGCTCCACATAAGGTAGCTTACCTGGACCTAATTAGGTCTACTACATTACATCCTTTCTCCCCCTGATGTGAGTCCCTGCTACACCCAGGTAATAACTTCTCATCCACAAGAAGGGTGACCCTTACCTGGGCTGTCTTGTTAATTTCAGAGCAGGAGCCAAGAAACTGCCAAGAAAGCCAGGCAGCTAGAACCCAGCTGACCCTTGCTCCCTTGGTGAGCTAGGCAGTTAAACCCTACTCCCAGTTGGACGCCAGGAAGAGAGTGAGCCCCACACTCAGCTGGAAGTTAGATTAAGAAACCTGGGCAACATATTCTTTCTCTCTCCCCTGCTCCCAGCTAAGAGCTAGCACAAGAAGGGGTGAAGAGGGGGCAAAACAAAGACATCTGCCCTCATCTGCAGGGGATGAGAAACCCCAAGTGGCTTCCCCTGGCTCCCAGCAGAGAACAGGGAGGGGAGAAGCCCCAAGTCTGTAGCTTCTCCACTCCTGGCACAGAGTCTTTTGGCAGCCCTGGAGTCTGTGTGGTAGCTGGTCTTATGGCAAGGAGCTGCCAGTGGAACTGTGAGATCTCTCAGTGCTCCATACTGCCCATCTTAGGTTGGTGGAAGCACTCCTGATGAGGACTTGCATCACCGACCTAAGGAGGGCAGTGTGGACATGCAATGCTGCAGTTATTACGACGACTGTAAGCTGACTTAATATGGATGGACTTCTATTTCTAGTGTATTCTTATCCTTAGGCTGGTAAAGTTTTGTCTCTCATACAATGAAGCTTTACCCTATTATTTATAAAGAATTCCATTGTGTACCAAGAACAAGTTGTCAGCATATTCATCCTGGAGCTGTAGAGGTCTGGGCCCTAGCCACGGAGAGGAAGTTCTCCTGGTGAAGGAGGAAGCTAATACAGGACCCTTGAGGAAAGTGGCTGTCTGTAGTATGTGTTTGCGTTTGGGGGTTTCTTGCTGTTTGCTGAGCTTGTGTTTGTCTGTTTGGGGTTTTTTCTTCCTTCCCCCCCACCCCCACCCCCCGAAAGTGTGTGCTGTGCCTGGGAGGTGGAAGCTATGAGCTTCTAATCAGGGTTTGAAATCTAGAAGCCTCTGTTCATTGGTTGAGCCTTAATCAGGGGGCGGGGCTATTAGATAGTCCAGGGCTTTATAAAGGAGTGAGTTAGCAACCAAGGAGCTTTAAATAGTGACTGCAAACAGGGAGTTTTGAGAGGGAGTTAGGAAGGGGGTGAGAATCACTTCCCATTCTTTAAAATCTTTTTGCTACACTCTTGCCCTTCAAGGAGGCATTGAATAACATCGGAGGAATCTTGCAGAAGGAAGGCAGGTATGGATAGTGATAGGTCTGCTGCTGTTACCTGCACAGCATGTGCCATGTTTGTCTTCCTTCCGGAAGAAAGAAGGGCTTTCATCTGCACTAAGTGGAGAGGACTTGAGGTCCAAGTATCGACCCTATGTTCCAAGAGAGAGGATGAAGACTTCCTCAACAGAAGGTAGTGTTTAATCCTGCAGGCACAGCAGACTGAAGAGCCAGTCAGATCAGTACAGGACAAGGAAGAAAACTGGTAGCATGTAACCTCTAGAACAGTGGTTCTCAACTTGTTTCAGTCCATGGACCACCAGGTCAATCAAAAAAATTTTGTGTGCCATCTTCTTTTTGAGACTGTGTGCTGACAGATTTGGGTAACTCCTGGTCACGCTGGCCCAAAATTTCTCTATGGTAGTCACGCCATGTGACTTTGGACAATGTTCCTGTGGACCACCGAAAAAGTCACCATGCATCACCAATGGTCCAAGGACTACCAGTTGAGAACCACAGCTCTAGAAGGAAAAGAAGGCCAACTCAGGTATCCCCCATTCATGTAGAGGAAAGCAACCGCTATCAGGCTCTCTCCACAGGCACTGCAGTGGAGAATGCTTTGGCAGAGACCTCTCAGGGAAGAAATCAGATGGGTGGTGGTGGTGGTGAGGGACTTCCTCCTAAGAGGGACTGAGTCATTCATCTGCCATCCAGACCTGCAATCTCAAGAAGCGTGCTGCTTCCCGGGAGCTTGCATTCAGAATGTGACTGAGAGTCTTTCAAAAGTGATTAAACTTTTGGATTGCTATCCTTTCCTGCTTCTCCATGTAGGAACTAATGATATGGCCAAGTGGGTCACAGCAGATTATGTAGCGCTGGGAAGAAGGCTCAAGGAATTTGAAGTGCAAGCAGTATTCTCCTCCATCCTTCCAGTTGAAGGAAAAGGTCCAGGTAGGGATCACTGAATTGAGGAAGTAAATGTGTGATTGTGCAGGTGGTGTCGGAGAGAGAGCTTTGGTTTCTTCAAACATGGGATTCTGTTCTGGGCACAAAGATTGCTAGGAAGAGATGGGATCCATCTAACCAAGAGAGGAAAGACCATCTTCGCAGGCAGGCTTGCAAACCTAGTGAGGAGGGCTTTAAACTAGGTTCATTGGGGGACGGTGACCAAAGCCCTGAGGTAAGTGAGGAAGTTGGATACCAAGAAGAACACAAGGATGACCAAGCAACAAAAAAGGGCCCCTGACTCAAATGGAGAAGGTAGGGCAATCAACTGGCTATCTAAGGTGTTTGGACACAAATGCAAGAAGCCTGGGAAACAAACAGGAAGAATAAACATGGGATTCTGTTCTGGGCACAAAGATTGCTAGGAAGAGATGGGATCCATCTAACCAAGAGAGGAAAGACCATCTTCGCAGGCAGGCTTGCAAACCTAGTGAGGAGGGCTTTAAACTAGGTTCATTGGGGGACGGTGACCAAAGCCCTGAGGTAAGTGAGGAAGTTGGATACCAAGAAGAACACAAGGATGACCAAGCAACAAAAAAGGGCCCCTGACTCAAATGGAGAAGGTAGGGCAATCAACTGGCTATCTAAGGTGTTTGGACACAAATGCAAGAAGCCTGGGAAACAAACAGGAAGAATTAGAAGCCTATGATTTGATTGGAATAATGGAGACTTGGTGGGATGACTAGCATGACTGGAGCACTGTCATGAAAGGGTATAAACTGTTCAGGAAGAACAGGCGGGGGAGAAAAGGAGGAGGAGTTGCATTGTATGTAAAAGAGCAGTATGATTGCTCGGAGCTCCAGTATTTAGAGGGAGAAAAGAAAGAGTTACTCACCTTGGTGCAGTAACGGTGCTTCTTCGAGATGGGTCCCCGTGGGTGCTCCACTCTGGGTGCTGGTGCATCCTCGTGCCGGCGACCGGAGACTTTTTCTAGCAGTTTCTGCCACGCCGCGCAGGCGCCGTAGCGCCCTCTAGTGCTGTTGGAATTGTTGGGCGCCTGCACGGCGCGGCTCCTCCGTTCCTTCTCTACCCGCTAGAGTACAAGGCTCCAAAGCAGGGGAAGGAGGGAGGGTAGTGGATCACCCATGGGGACCCATCTCGAAGAAGCACCGTTACTGCACCAAGGTGAGTAACTCTTTCTTCTCCTTCGAGTGGTTCCCATGGGTGACTACAGAGCAGTTGTTGGTTCGCGGAGGTGTGTTTGGAGCTGCGTAGTAATCACTGTGGACAAGACTGCGTGTCCCACCGCCATGGACGAAGCTATAGAAGAAGAGAGTGCATAATGCCGTGCAAAAGTGTGGTCGGATGACCAAGTGGCGGCGTTACAGATATCTTGTAGTGGAACATTCTGAATGAAGGCGGTTGTGGAAGCCACGGCTCTGGTGGAGTGAGCCGTGATGTTGTCCAGTAAGTGTTTATCATACAAGGTATAACAAGTTTGAATGCAAGAAGTAATCCAATTTGAGATTCTCTGAGACGAGATCGCTTGTCCCCTAGATTTTTTGGCGTAGGAGATGAAAAGCCTAGGTGAGGCCCGCCACGGCTTTGTGTGGTCGACATAAAACGCCAGAGCGTGTCGAACGTCTAAAGTGTGCCATGCTGCCTGGATCGGGTCAGCATGAGGCTTTGGAAAGAAGGCGGGTAAGTGTATGGGTTCATTCACATGAAAGGGTGAAGGTACTTTGGGGAGAAACTTCGGCTGGGTTCGAAGAATCACTCTGTCCTTTGTAAATACGGTATAAGGTGGGTCCGCCATCAAGGCTGCCAATTCACTCACTCTCCTACTGGAGGTAATTGCGACGAGGAAGGATACTTTCATGGATAAGAGAGACCAAGAACAGGTAGCCATCGGCTCGAATGGTGGCTTTGTCAAACTTTTTAGGACGTGATTCAAATCCTAGACAGGGACCGGGGGACGGACCGGCG